GTGGTCATATGCTACAGACGACGCCTCCACCACCGCTGCCACAGCAGTCCAGCCAGACACCTGGTCATCCCTACACACAGTACACTCATTCAAACACCCATCATAGTCAGTCCCAGCAGCAGCAACAACAACTGCAACCTCCCTCAGTAACCATGGCCTTTACCAACGCTGCTCACACACACTCCCACTTCCATTCTGCAGGACTAGGCTTGCCGATACCTACCACTCTCGGCTCCTGCATCCCTGGGCTCCACCTAACTGGGCTGCCCTGTCAACCTTCCCTTGCACAGCCTGCTACTACCGGATCGACGCACCGAACAACTGGAATGTCTACATCGAGGCCTAGTACTGCTTCGGAAAAGGCCCGAGTAAGATCTAAGCTTTGATATCTTTCATTATTATTATTTACTTGGATAGGCTAGAGATTTGATTTTTGGGCGTAAGATTAGGTGGACTTTATTGGCATACTAACCTTTTGGAAAATTCAGCGTTGAGTTATTGTATCCAATCTATTCCTCATTTCTATTCCAGATATAATTGTTTCGAAGTATTATCTTAGTATGACTAAAGTTCTGCTTCGGCGCCTCAAAGCCTGCGAGAAAAGAACACTAAATACAAAATATTTTCCTACTTTATTTTCTTTTCAATCCAGCTGGCTTTGGGATTCGTCTTGTAACTATTATCTATGCATGTTCTTTCAATACTAAGAAGTCATTAGAAACTGTCCACTCTTCATCGGTATATTTTACAGATATATAGTATTAATTTCTAAATTTATGATGATTTTCATCTACTTAAAAAATTGTATTGTGAGATACCACTTACTGGATTTATTTAGGCATTCGATAAAATCGTCTTGTCCAAATACTCTGAGAAGGTCATAATTGTCTTTATGTCTTTATGTGATTTATGATCAGTATGTTTGCATCTTAACCTATAGTATACTTGAATATATACATAATTTATCCCTATTATATTATGTTTTGTACCCTAGAATTGCTGTCTCGTGAGGTTTGAGTTTTTTGCTTCATTCTGTAATGCGTTGATACTTTCATATAGTTAATCTACGAGGATCCATAGGTCTATCGTTGGTTTATCTAAGTCTAATATTATGTTCTTAATCTCAAATCATAGGGATGCACAAATATTGATTTTTTTCCATTAACCACTGCTTTTTAAAGGCTTATATTTAGTTAGGCCTCACATTAATATATTTTTTATCAAGCAATTTCCCTGGAGGTATCATAACAATCTGCCCAGATTCTGACCTTTACTTCTTCTTTTGTATTTGTGTGACTATCCACTTTCAAATATAACTAGACCTAATCCTTTAATTTGGTATCACGTTTTTTTAAATGACAGCCATCATTTTGATCATCCAAATTTTTTTCTCTTAGTTCATCCTTTGACTGCCCATCTATAAATAACGGCAAACGGACCATTTCTGGTCTTATTATATTCCTTAATTTCTTCCAAATATTTTTATATTAAACTGTATATGGGATGGTCAGATGAGGCATATTGGGCAAAACTTTCTGAGGTCCTTTTTTCAAAGTATTTTTATATTTTGTATCGGGTTACGTCTCAAAACATATTAAGGTATTTACCTATTGTTCATATCAATCCCCAACTTCATTCCTATCTGGTATTCGAGCTCTCTTTACTTTTGTGCCTATGACAGTTATGACTTGATTGGTT